GAATAGATTAATTTGATTTTCTCCATTATTTATCTTATGGTGAGAATAACATTCATTCTGAGCTTACACACGACATAATTTATCGCATAACATTTGAGCTCTCAGAAACGGACATACTAATAAGCGATATAGCGAGTGACACACTCAAACTGTAATAATAATATTTGAGTCAGAAGCCGATCATTCTATCTCAAAAATTACATGAAATGGAAGTGTTGGTCTTTTATTTACATCAGTAACTACTGTAGACCAACTGGTTGAGACAACATGAGTACAGCACAAAGTGCGTGCTAGTGTTTTGTAATAATGTTTATGAAATCACAACCAATGCATCATCTGTTTGTTTACATAGTGGGTGGGGTGGCATCCGGCTGGCCAGCTGGCTTTCCCTAAAACTACCCTACCTACACGCCACAGAAAACCACCTTTTCTAACGAAATAGAATATACTTTTCACCTTATCACCCTACATTAAACTACAAATATTTTAAGGTAAGTAATGAGTGTACTGTAAGATGCATTTTATATCACTATTTAAGCATTATCGTAGATATTAATGTGGGTGGGGTGCCAGGAGGCGGCTACCACACCTAACTTCTTATAGTAAATGCCTACTCACCTTTCTGCCCTACAGTAAGCAATACGCAATATTTTGAGGTAAATAATGCGAGTGAATGTGTGTGAAATTTTATTTTTTTATTATTTTTTAATGCCTAAGTTCTATGCTAACTTAAATATGTTACGTGTAAACTTGTCATCTGGCAATTTAATACATTATAAAGTTGGAAAAAATGCGTTCTGCTTGCCGGTGAAGTCTGCTTCCGGCAGTAGCCTGGAACCTTGAACCTCCGTACAAGTGGGGCCGTACTGTAATAATTTTATATAAATGTTAAAAAAATTAATTTTTTGGTGAATATTTTTGTCTGAACGAATTAATTGATTTACAACTGAATATCCTTATGGGAAATATAATTTCGGTTTTTCAGCCGACCTGACACGATTTACAGCCTGAACAACCGAGGAGTTCCACTGTACCGAGTATTGTATGTTTGTAAAGTGGAATTAACAGCACAAATACATGTCCATTAAACTTATTACTGTGGTGGAAAAAATACTGACTCTTTAGAAAAAGAAAATCTTGCCAGTTAGCGTGGAAGTACTGAGTGTGTATTCATCCAAGCTCTCCACAATAAGTGCAGCAGGTTTGACAGTGTTTATAAACAACACCGAGCTCTCACAGTAAGTGCAATCATTGAGAGTGTTTATATACAACCAGAGCTCTATCAAAAAAACCAGTTTAAGTGCAGCAGTGTGACAGTGTGTATACACAGCCAGAGCTATCACAGTAAGTGCAAGCAGTATGACAGTGTCTAACAGTAGGGCCCCACTTATATGGCATGTTGGTTCCAGGCTACGCCATAAAGCAGAATCTGCTGTTTAAAGTGAACACCCTTTTTTTCACTTATAAATTCATAGAAATACTAGATAACAAGTTTACACTTACATATACAGTGGACCCCCGTTTAACGATATTTTTTTTCACTCCAAAGTATGTTCCAGGTGCCAGTACTGACTGAATAGTGTTCCATAGGAATATTGTGAAGTAGATTAGTCCATTTCAGACCCCCAAACATACACTAAAATAACGCACTTACATAATTACACTTACATAATTGGTCGCATTCGAGGTCAATCGATATGCCGGTGGTCCACTTATTAAGTTATCAATAGAACTAAGGCACTTAAAAACCTCAAAAAGTAAAAATTCTACACATACATTTGTACCCCCGCATAACCGCACGCAATTGCAACCGTACCGCTCGCTTTTTTCGCAAAAATTTTGCCTCGCATACCGCCCAAAAAAAAACCCCTCACCGCCCTGTCGTTCCGAGACGCGTCCAATGTGCGGCCTGAAGCCACGCTCACATGTTTCCGCCGGTGGCATTGTTTACTCAGCCAGCCGTCCGCGGTAACATCCAAGCATAAATCCGGACATTTCGTATTTACAAGTGTTTTTGGTGATTTTTTTCTGGAAAATAATAGACCATGGGCCCCAAGAAAGCTTCTAGTGCCACCCTACAGCAATAAGGGTGAGAATTACTATAGAGAAGAAGAAAAAGATCATTGATATGTATGAAAGTGTGAGTGCGTGTCTCCGAGCTGGCCAGGTTTGTATAATAAACGCCCAATCAACCATCGCTACTATTGGTGGTACAGCTGCTGCTGTACCACCGTCAGCAGCTGCTGCACTGTCAGCTGCTGACTTGCTGCAAGCTGTCAGCTGCTGCTGCACTGTCAGCTGCAGGCTGCTGTAGTACCACCGTCAGCTGCTGCTGCTGCTGTAGTACCCGTCTGCCTGCTGCGTAGGCATCGTTCTTCTGCTGCTGTAGCATCCGTCTGCTGCTGCTGTAGCATCGTCTGCCTTCTGCTTAGCATCGTCTGCTGCTGCTGTAGCATCGTCATGCTGCTGCTGTAGCAGCGTCGTTGCTGCTGTAGCAATCGTCTGCTGCTGCTGTAGCATCGTCTGTTGCTGCTGGAAGCATCGTCTGTTGCTGCTGAACCCCCGTCAGCTCTGCTGCTGCTGAAGCTAACCCGTTGTTGGTGTGGTTATTGAGAATACCAAGAAAAATTAACCCAAGGATTTGCCACCCAGGATAACCAAAAAGTCAGTGTCACGAAGACTGTCTTAACTTATTTCCATTGGGGTCCTAATCTTGTCTCCCAGGATGCAACCCACACCAGTCGACTACACCCAGGTGAAACAGGGAAAAAATGCCTGGAACTAGTGCTCATATAGGTGAATTTAAAAGCCAGATCAAAGGTGGTTTGAGAGATTTAAGAATTGTAGTGGCGATACACAGTGTGATAAGGCCTGTTCTGGAAGAAAATGCCAAACAGGACCTACAGTACTCAGGGAAAAGTCACTCCCAGGACACATGGCTCATCAGTCATTGCTGCATCTTCAATAAAAGAAAGTGTCATTTATTCTTCTTTAGTAGAGTAGTACATGCACAAATATATTGTGCATGTACTACTCTACTATTGTGCATGTACCTCTCTTGTGTGTAGGAAAACGTCTATTTCATGTTGTAAAATTTTATTTTTCAATACTTTTGGGTGTCGTTGCACGGATTAATTTATTTCCAATTATTTCTTATGGTGAAAATTTCATTCGCATACCGAACATTTCGCATAAACAATCAGCCCCTCTTGGCACGGATAAAGTCGCTATGCGGGGGTCCACTGTATAGTACACTCATTACTTACCCTAAAATATTTGTAGTTTTCATCTAGGGTGAGATGAGTATATTTTATTGTAAGAAATCCAATGTGGGTTAATGTATGGTAGCCCCTGTCAGGCTACCATACCAGGCACCCCACCCACACATAATATTTCTAATGACATTTAAGCATCCCCAGAGGCGATAAAATGCATGTACATTCACTCAATTACTTTACCTTAAAATATTTGTAATTATAATGTAGGGTCAGAGGTGAGTAAGTGAGTAAACGAGATAAAACAAATAAATGAGAGAGAGAAGAGAATGAGTACATGAAAGAGGACAGGTGCAGAGTTATGTAAACAAACTAGGCAAACACATCTGGTTTGTGTACAAGTTGTCTCTCTGTTGATACGGTAGAATAAATAAAGAGGAACACTCCCATTCTCATGTAACACCATTTTTAGAAGAAATGACGCTCTGAGTGAAGGCATACGAAAGGAATGATTTTCTACAGCTACCCCCCCAGTAACACATTTTCTCTTATGTTGGACTAGAGAAAACGTTATTCTTGCCATCACTTGTACAAGTCATCTGGCTACCATACCACTTCTCATATTTAAGTTTGTTTATTCTACTGTGGGGTGTATTTATCATCTTTATATGTTATGTATCGTGTTTATTATATAATTTTGAAAAAATATCATAGATGGATTAATGAAAATGAAAATGTTGCAGCAGTGTGACAGTGTGTATGTACAACCAGAGCTCTCACAGTAAGTGCAGCAGTGTGACAGTGTGATGTATACACCCAGAACTCTCACAGAGAACAACAGAGTGCTTGAGTTATGAACGTACTACAGATCTTGCACATTTAAAAAAATATGTATGGAAAAAGATATTGCATATAACTATGGCAAGAGATTGCTGATGATTGCAATAAAGATATTAAAGGCTTCATTAAAGTTACCCTTTCTTTCCATGGATCAAACTCGATGACCTCCCATTTCCTTAGCATTGTATGACCCCTCAAGGTCATAGCAATTATAATAATAAAGATCTTATTATCTATTTGTTATATCAGTGATCTCGCATGCACATCTTGGGTATAACAAAGCTCTCTCTAGTATACAGAATGAGTACCATTTGGGCTCAACACTTCCCCATAATAATAATTATAATGGGGAGTTGCTAAAACCCATTTGGAATTACATGGTAGCCTGTGGGAGGGGGAGATGGAAGGCATCAACCACCTCCCTTGGGGGAGTAGTTCCCCATGAACTTAATACTGAAGACGGGCCTTCTTTATATCAGTGATCTCTGTTGCATCTCTTTAGTACATCAAAGCTCTCTCTTTATGCCAAATGACTCGTGTCTTTTTGTATATATCACAGCTCTCTCTCTTCCAGCATATTCAATGGATGTAACTTACTTATACCATAAGGTCTATCACATACCGCCTGATTATACCTGAGATCCTTGACACTTTTTCATAATAGTAAAGGTCACTCTCGAACCTCGCTATTTAGTATATTGTAAAGATTTCGCTCTTTTCATTATACACAAGATTTATCTCGCATTTCATGATATCAAGGTTCTCTCACACCTATGGTTCTATACTATATTAATTTAAACTACTTTTTGTTATAAAACTTTTATTTTAATAAGCAAATATAGTAGCTGTACAGGGGCTTCACATAGCACCGTTGTTATGACAACATAAAACAGTAATGTTCAGTGCTACTGTCTAGGGCCTCCCAGAAAAGGATTTTGTCTCAGCTTAGTATTCTTCAAACTGACACTTCAGCTTCTCAAGGTAATCCACAACTGCGGTGACAATGAAGTTTGCATCCTGGGATGAATGAAGAGGGTCTAAAATGAGGCGAAGTTGCTTCTTTGGTTGTAATTTTCCATCGATGTTCAAGAAAGTGGCTCTCTTGAATGTTGATATCATACGATCCAAGAACTTGGAAGGCTCCCAGTCCACTTCCTGTGAGTCTCTCAGCTCCTCGAGGAAGAGTGACCTAAGAAGTCTGTCAGAGACAGTCTTAATACCAAGAGAGTAGCAGTGCCAAGCTCGACCATGGCGACGACTATGTTGCACCGGAAACCACCAGCAATTTCGCAATATCTTACACAGCACATTGCACGCCACGTATACTGTCTTCTTCCTTTCTGGCAGCTGGCTGTATATCCAATTTTCCATTTGTGTGAGAACATAGGTCCAGGTACCCTTCCTGCTGCTGGCCAAATGGACAGGGATATGAGGAGTTATGCAGCCGTTTAAAAAGGGAGGAAGAGTGATCTCGTAATTATCTTTTTGATAATCTAGTTTTATCACAGGTACGATATTTATTTTAAGCAAAGCAGTTCTTTCCTGATCATGTGAGGCAGTCTTTTCTTTATAGTGCCATACTAAATATATCGAGAGCCCTATATCTGTCACTGTCAACCAAGGATATATTAACCAAATCGTTGATAACTCAAAAACGTAAGTTTCCAGAGTCTGTCTTACTGTCTTTTCAAACTCATCATTCAAGAAAGAAGCTCCTGAACTTTTTTGACTGTTGAGAGGGATGAGAGTTACTATACATGGATCAGCATAGTTGTGTTCTATCTTATAGTCTCCGAATTGTCCACTGTTGACCTCCAAGTATACATCCAATGAATCTACAGGTTTGCACGTTTTCTTGGCTTTCTGGGATGAAGTAAAAAAAAATCCATTGAAAAGAGAATTAGCTTTTCCAACTTCTTGCAAGAAGCGCCCTATCTCTTCTTGAAGCATATGCATTCTGATTTCACCTTTTTCCATGTTCCACTTGCAAGCATATTTTCGCAGCGACTCAAGATCTGAGATTTTTAGCTCTGATTCCTTTTTCTTCAGTACTAGTCTTGCTTTAGTAGCAAAGAGAGGTTCACTCAGAATTTCTTGTCTATATTCTTCAGGCAGGAGTACCAAATTAAAATCTTTTACATAGTTTTCGTAACCGCTGAGTAGCTGCTCAGCTGTTGGATGTTCGTCCGAAGGAATTTTTGACCTTATCCCCTTTTTAGTCATGTAATCATGCAGGTACTCCAGGCATTCTTTATTACCTTTAACAGCAGCTAGATGTGCCGCCGTTAGTCCTCTTTTATCTTCTGCCTGTATGTCGGCTCCATTATACAGCAGATATTCAATCATGCCCAGACGGCCGTAGAGAGCAGCCACATGTAGCATCTTAGTTCCTGTAAGTTCATCGACAATGCTATTGACATTAACATCATTTATTTTGTTAGATAATTTGAAAAATAGCGATACTAACCCTAGGCGAGATATAGCAATCAAAATAGTGTTTTCCAAAGTGACCTCCTGACCACGGTAAGCAGCTTCAACTTGCTTCACTAAGTCCGAAAACTTATTATTATTAGTGTACCTTTTCAATAACACTTTTAATTGCTCCAGTTCAGCCAGTTCAACTTCTTGACAAAGAGTTTGAGGAAGGTCTTCATTTTTCATAAGGGAAACTAGAGGCATGTGAAGATCTCTAAGTAATGTGTATAAAGTTTCAAACTGTTGTCTTTCTAGTGAAAGTTCCACAGGATGATTCTCTGATGGTAGGGGATGAAGGTGGAAGTCTTCAAGACCAGCATCTGGCACGTAAGAGACATTCCAAGTGATGCTGCTGTGCACAGAAAGCTTCTGGCTCTCTTACTACGCATTTTAGTACCATTTCCATTCTGCTTTTCGTCTATGAATTCCCATGAAAACTTGGGTCCATTTTTTCTCACCTCAGCAGCAAGCCTCTTCACTGCCTTACACAAGTCTGTGTTTTCTCTCTCGTGAATTTTCATGGCCTCCCAACACAGCTTACTGGCATACTCCTGCAACATAAATTTAAATATGCAGAGTTAGTAATAATTATTGTGAGAGAATACAGATAAGCCACTGGATGAGCTCCTTCTCTTACACAGGGGCTGTGAATCGATTCCTGCAATTACATATTGGCGAGTACAGACACACACATACACACAAGGATGAACCAGCCAGACTGGACTTCATATTCACTTTGAGTAGTTCAAACATTGATGACATCACACATGAAAGGCCCCTGGAGTTAGTGGTTGCATGGTCCTCAGCTTCGAATACAGAGTTACAAGTGGAGTGGGATGCTGGAAGAGTAGGATGGGAGAAGCCAAACTACAAAAGAGGGAACTACACAGGCATGAGGAATTTCCTGCATAAGGTTCAGTTGGAAAGAGAACTGGTGGGAAAATAAGTAAATAAAAAGATGAAGTATGTGACATCAAAATGCAAGGAGGCAGAGGAGAGGTTCGTTCTCAAGTGCGACAGAAATAATGGGAAGACCAGAACGAGCGAGCTCTTGGTTCACCCAAAGGTATGTAAAGTAAAAGGACACAAGTGCAACTAATGTGACATTTTAATGTGGCAACGTTTCGCTCTCCAGGAGCTTTATCAAGCCATTACAAACAATACATGGACACAGGGTATATAAAGGCTCAGAGTGAGGTGCAATACTAGTGAGGTACCATTTCGATGTTCACTAGTGGTAGTAGTAGTAGTAGTAGTAGTAGTGATAAAAGTAATACAATATGGTAGAGCAATTAATTCGTACATGAGTAAAAGGATATACATAAAAGCTATTACTTGGGTAACATAAAAATAGGTTGGACAAATATAGACTGGAAAGAGGCAGGTTGTTTCAGTGTTCACTCTTTGCAATGTGCTTTGTGTAGTATAACAGGAGAGACTATGTGATGGCAGGGTTTACTGTTTTCAGAAGGATTCTTGCTAAGACTTCGGAGATGGTGAAGCTGCCGTTGTTTTGTTTAATTGTATTCGAAACAGCGTTCAGTGCTGATTCGAGGCACTTGCGTCTGCACTGAATGTCTCAAAAGTACTTTCACAAGCTAACACCAGAGTCGCCATCGCTTCTAGCACTTCAATAAAGGATCTAACCAGGACAAAATCCAAGCACCACAAACCAGTCAATGCAGGAGTTTACACTATACCCTGTGGAGGCTGTGACAAGATTTACGTAGGTGAAACAGCAAGAAACCTCGACACCCGCCTCAGTGAACACATTTACGCATGTAGGAATGATAACTTGAACAACGCCTGTGTACAACACCGAAATTCCACCAATCATCTCATGAAATTCAGAGACGCCCAATTAGTGATCAAAGAAACTAATTTCCGCAGACGCAAGTGCCTCGAATCAGCACTGATCGCTGTTTCGAATACAATTAAACAAAACAACGGCAGCTTCACCATCTCCGAAGTCTTAGCAAGAATCCTCCTGAAAACAGTAAACCCTGCCATCACATAGTCTCTCCTGTTATACTACACAAAGCACATTACAAAGAGTGAACACTGAAACAACCTGCCTCTTTCCAGTCTATATTTGCCCAACCTATTTTTATGTTACCCAAGTAATAGCTTTTATATCCTTTTACTCATGTACGAATTAATTGCTCTACCATATTGTATTACAGTGGTCCCCCGCTTTTCGTAGTTCCCGGCAATCGTAAAATTCGCCAATCATAGGGATATTTTCGTATGAACATGGACTCACTTTTTCATAGGTTGACTCGCGAGCGTAATTCGTCCGGGACGCGTACCCACGTGTGAGCCGGGCGGC